GGCCAGTCTCAGGCGCTCCTCTCGCAGCAAGGATTTGTGCTAGTGGCTCCCCCTCCTTTTGGTTTCCTGATAAAAGGCCGTTGGAATTTTTGTCTCTGGAAATCCATGAGACTCTGCTTTTCTTTTTAGAAGGTACTTTCTACGCTTGGCAACACGTTGTCCCGGTGAACTTCGGTCTAACTACTACGATGCAGGGTCGGGGGTGGGGGGTAATTTCAAGCACCTCGGGGCCCAGAACAGAAGCGTCACTTTGCATCTCCTCCCCTGGCGATACGTCACAATGCTCCCGTCCAGTGTTTGGTATCTGGGCATCTGCAGAGGCAGCCCACGGGTCCCCAGGGAGGGTGAGAATCAGCAGGACCAGAATGCTGCCCCTCTGGACCTCCCCACCCCTCTCGTGTCTGTGTTACAGCTTGGACACCTCCACCTGGATCAGCCGTGGTGCAAGAGTCCCTCTGAGCACGAGGAGATCCACGTGGTGCAGAAGACTGATGAGGCAGAGCCCAGGACGAGGCTGGTGTGGCCTCACCTGGTCACTCAGAAGGGACGTAAGGTCGGGGCTCGGGGCGTGCACCTGAGCTGCTGTCCATGAGTCTCTTCCTCCGGACTCTCAGTGTTGAGGAGATTATGATGCAGAGCACTGTCCTGGTGTCCAGACGCCCAGTGTGACTGGATTTGGAGACGGGGCTGCTAAGGAGGTGGTCAAGTTTACGTGAGGTCAGGGTAGGGGGGTACAGCTCAGGTGGCAGAGCAAATGTGGAGCATGTACAGGGTCCTAGGTTCAATCCCCAGTACCTCCTCCAAGAGTAAATAAATAAATAAACCTAATTACCTCCCCCCTCCAAAAATTTTAAAAATAAATAAAGTATTTTATTAAAAAACGGGAGAGGAGCAACGTGGAGCTGGAGGAGTAAGAGGGACAAACCTTCAGGTATAAAATAAGCTGCAAGGGTGTACGGCAGGGGGAATAGAGCTGGCGTTTTATACCAACTATAAACGGAGTATAACCTTTAAAAACTGTGAATCACTGGTTTCTATGACTGTAACATATAATATCGTACATCAACTATACTTCAGTTAAAAAAGTATGATATTGTAAAATAAATTCATAAATAAAGTTTAAAAAAAGGTTAAACGAGATCGTAAGAGTGCCTCCTTCAGCTGATGGGATCAGAGCCCCCCTGAGGCGATGGCAGAGAGCTTCACCTCTGTCTGTCTGTCTGTCTGTCTCCCTCCTCCACGTGTGTTCACATCTACAAGCCTGGGAGAGAGTTCTCAGGAGAACCTGGCCAGGCCGGCTCCCTGATTTCGACTTCCAGCCCCCAGAACCGTGAGGAATACAGTTCCGTTGTCCAACTGCCTGGGCTGGAGGACTTTGCTAGGACAGCCCGAGCCGACAGAGACAAGGCCGCTCCAGCCGCCGGCACCGGCGCGGCCTCTGCCCGGGGCCTGGCCCTGCCCCCCCATCCGCCCTCGGTCCGAGGGCCACTGGGTCTTCTTAGAGCCCCTGCCTCCCCGCCGAGGACTCCGGGAACAGGTCGCGGAGTTGTCTGTGCCCGTCGGGGACGAGTCGAACACGTTTCTCACGTTATAAAAAGCAGTATTTGTGGATTGATGCCCTAGTCTGAGAGACGATTAGCCACCAAGCGGTGCCTGATACGCTGAAACTGTTTTTGCTTTGGTTCCAGAACTGGCAAAGAAATACTGGGATAATTATGCACCAAATTCTGTCTTTTTGGAGATGTGAGTGTGTTGTTTGTTTTCTCCTGGACCGGCCCGGGTGCTGCCCTCAGTTCTGCCCACGCTGAAGCTTGCACACAGACATAACGTGGAGCCCAGGACAAATTCCACAGAAAGCTCACTTTAAGTTTC